GTTTGGTATCATCAGCAAACTTGCTGAGGGAGCACTCTGTGCCTTCATCCAGGTCATTGATGAATAAATTGAACAGGACTGGACCAAGGACTGACTCCTGGGGGACCCCACTAGCCACAGGCCTCCAACTGGACTCAGCACCGCTGATCACCACCCTCTGAGCTCTGCCATCCAGCCAGTTCCTAATCCACCTCACTGTGCACTCGTCTATCCCACACTTCCGGAGCTTGCCCAGGAGGATGTTGTGAGGGACGGCTCAAAAGCCTTGTAGTTAGTATAATGTATAATGTTAGCATAAATATAAAATTAATGCAAGAGTTGAGTAAAATTGGACACATACCTTTCTTTCTTACCAAAATCTTTGAGCTATTTTGAAAATAATAGAATTATAGACAGAGAACTAGTTGATATATTTATTCTACTGAGTTTTCTCCAGTCCACAAGCGTTTATTTATGTACTGCTTGCCTAAAATTTAAAGTTAGAGGCTGTATCTAAAATTCAAAGGTTAAAGACTGCTTCTCTGAGAGGCAGAGATCTATTTGCCAGAGGGAAATGAAACTGTAAGGAGGTGCAATGTACTGTAAACCAGACCCAGAACAGTTCAGGCTCAAGGAAATCTCTACTGAGATGTTACCAGTTTGAGTTTGCAAAAAAGGACATTTTTTTCAGGACTGTAGGTAACTATACAGAAGTCCTGCAAATAAGTCATTCTAACGAAGTATCAGTGAAGGTTTGGTGCTCTTGCATGTTATACTGTCATAAATTTGAACATGGCACATTTTGTGCTTCAGACCATTTACTAGTGTTTGAGAGCTGTGAAGTAAGTAGTGGTGAATCTCTGTCCGTCAAACCTGTTGTCATCATTCTTGCGGTATGGCGGTTGTTTTTACAGTTTTGTGTGGAAATTGATTCTGAATATACAGGACAGGTAACTGGCAAAAGAAGAAAAATCTACTGTGATAAACTCGAGATGTTTCTAAGAGGGTTTGTGCATGTGCTAAAAAGTCTTATAGTGCCCTGCAAAGGTCTGCTGGAAAATAGGCTCTTTCCTGTAACCCGCCAAGCAAGAGCAGGAGGCAGAGGTTGGACAGGGAGGGATTCAGGCAGCTGTGCGGATGAATTGATCACATCTACAGCAGTAATTAAAAGAAAACTTTGAAATAAAAAACTGCAGAGAAAAGAGGAAAAACTCCCCTCCTCAGTTATTTCACTTGTGCCTAAGTCTTTAATGGGCTGTGAAAGATGGTGACTCATCCCTGCTCTAAGTGATCATCGCCAGTAGCTTAAGTGTGAGTTGTTCACAGGCCCCAAGTTCCTTTAGGGGCAGGTCTGTGGATGGCTGGGAAAGCTCAGAGATGGGAGAGATTGAAACAAAGTGGGATAGATAAATAGTTCTAGGGCACAGGATAGTTTGGTCCTTGGGACCACCGTTTGTGATAGAATAGACTAAGGCATAAGTTCGCGATTCACACTGAGCGCAGCAAAGATTTTGACTTGAATCTTTCACATCTGTCTCCTTTTCTCATATTTCAGAGAAATACCAATGTTTCCTCAAGTTAGCAGTCATCTCCCCTGCCCCCATCCTTCCTCAAGTTCACTCCTTGGTAAATTGGTAAATTTGGTGAACAAGATGAACAGAGAGCGTGTCTTTCTAGCTATCATGGTGGGTACAATCCCGCCGACACAGAATTCAGTGGCCAGGTACCCACAGACCCTCTGGGCCTGCTCCAGCAGTAGCTCGCTGGCTGCCTGGGGCTGGTGCACCCTTCCTTAACTGGTTTAGTGGTCTTGGGAAGTGTGATAAAGGCACAGAGGAGTAAGGCAAGTTGCCTGATGGTCAAGGTCTTTACAGGTACAGCTGCCTAACCCTAAAAACTAGGGAGTATTTTTAAGGATGGTTTTAATGAAGTCAGCAGAATTAACTGCTGCATCTCAGAGAAGACTTTTCTGGTAGATGGTTCTCTACTTTCAACTCGATACATGCTCTTGAAGCAATGTCTTTCTTGGTGCTTATTTCTTGAAAGAGGAGGATGATGTTATGTGTGGTTTGTGGTTTTGGAGGAGGGGAGGAAGAAGGGGGTATAGCAGGGTCTTACTGCTGTTTTTTTTTAGTGATATTTTGTAATTATTCGAGCATATTTGAATGAGGTACTGGTGATCTAAAATAAAACTTGAGTAGAAAAAAAATTTACGATAACTCTCAAGTAACTCATATCCTTTGAGACCAGTTACAGTTACTGTTTTTATACTAAGAGTCATATGTTGGGAAATAAAGTTTAAGGTATCAGTTGTTCATTTTATGGGATAGGAAGAAAAAAGGCAGAAGGGGGAGAATAAAAGTATAATCCAGTGATGGATGGCTGAGATTTTTTTTTAATTCATTTTGAAAGTGAAGTAAAAAGGTAATTGAAATCAGGCTACCTGAATTCTGAATAAGAGTATATATTCTGTTTAGTCACCATAAATTCATATGTCTAGGTCATTTCAGTTGCTTTCCTTTCTTTTTCATGTCCTTGCATGAGAAATGTAAGGTGTTCCAAAAGTGACATAGCGGCACATGATTTTGTGGTTTGGTCTCTGTTAAGATGAGAATTCAAAAAATAATACCATCTTCCCAGGGATTTTTTTGCATATAGAGGGTTAAGTTTAAAAAAAAAAATAATAGGGAGCTGAATGTGAGAAGGCAGAAAAGAATATTCTTGGTGGCAATGAATCTGTAAGGAGAATGTCAAAATGATGCAAGACACCTGTATTTTCAGATAAGCAACGTTTATTCTGTTTCTTTCCTGATGCCAGTAGTGACGGCCTGCAGAGTGTGGTTCACTCTTCCCACCCCACGGTGGTGTTTCCTCACGGTCAGCATGTCTGTCTCCTCTGGAGCTGTATTTAGTCATAGTTCTTTGAGCCCAGGTGTATTAAGGTGTCTGTACCCTGCGTGACAGCAAATATTTAATTGAACCAGGGTTATAGACAAGATTTAGCCTCTTCCCACCTCTCCAAATATCTTCTGTATAAACCAAATTTGCCAAATGCCTTTGCGTCTGTACAGGTGACTGCAGTCCTGTTCACATCCCATTTGATTTTTTTTTCTTTTTTCTTTTATTGATACTTGGGGAAAGGTTTTGCATTTCTCTAGTCTAATTCTTCACTCCTGCAATAGAGTTAAATGATAGAAACAAAATGTTTGAAAAAAAAAAAGATCTATAAAATCTAGATGTTTCTGAAAAAAAGTTGAGTCTTTATGAAAGAGGATGGGACTAATGAGCAGTATGGAGAGGGATGCCAAACAGCGCGCAGTATTTACTAATCCACTTCTGGTAGTCAAAGTGATAACTTTGTCAAGAGACAGAGACAAAAATTGATTTTCTTCAGGCAAGCATACCATTGAGCAAATTGTGCATAGGTTGCTTTGCAAAGGTTTTGGTAGATATAGATGTATATATGTATGTATGCCTCAGCACTCTCTACTTTATGGAGCAAAGGAAATAAGCTGCTTTCTGTTTCTAGATTTTTGAAGGCTTTTCAGGAAGTCTTTGCTCATGTTCATTTTATGTCTGTATGGAGAAGAGAACCTGTATAAAAGGATATCAGTATATGTAGATAAATAGATATTTCAGTTTTGAGAGTTCCTCAATTACCAGTTGCTGTGCTGGTCTTCACTATCTATTAGCAAATACAGTAATATATTTTCTGTGAAGGACTTTCAGAATATCTGAATGTAAATTGTTTCACCAACTTTTAAAATACCTTACCCTTCTTGCAATGCATCACGCCATCTCTTTTGTCAATACAAAACAGTATTTTCTAATGGATTTAAAAAATCAAA